GGGAAGGGAAGTTAGGTTGCGCCGCGCTGCGTGTTCACTGAGGTGGGGGCGGGGAGCCGGGCCTAGGGGCCATGTGGGAGCTCTGGCCCGGCTTCCCGCGCGGTGCGCCCGGGGCCGACTTCTCCTTGCTGCCCTGGGGCCCCGGCAGCTCTCCGCACCTCCTTCCCAGAGCTCTGGCTCTCGATCTGTGCTCATGGCCAGGCCCGGCACCTGATTGCCTCTGAACCCATTTCCACTCCTGTTTTTTTCCTCTTTTCTGCCCGCTCAGTCCTCTCCTGGGAGAGAGAGTTGTGTATAGATGTGGACTTAGGTAGAGACCGGATCAGTGGGGATCTGTGCCCGCACCGAACCCTGAAGCTCAACTTAAAAGAATTGGGCCTATTTCCTGATGAAATCGCAAAAAGCTCGTTTTTCATATCTTCAAATTTAAGGGAACCAGAAAAAAGGAAGATAAGTTTCCTAGAGACTGGACCTTAGCGTAAAAACAAATGGGGGATGGTCTGGTTGAAACAGCGCGGTGACATTGGTCACAGCAGTGTCCCCTTGGTGTCCCTCCCTCTGTGGGGGGATGGGGCGCAGGACGGGTGAAGGGTGCTTGAGGTCTTTTTTAAGGTGACAGCTCTGAACAACATTGTAACCAAGTTGCTCTTTTGTGACATCTTGGCCAGAGAACTCAACGGCAAAGCGACAAGGCTTATTTTACGCAAATTGCCTTCGAATGATGTTTGTGTTTGTGCTGGTTTTTACTAGTCTTTTTCCTCCTTAATTTTCTCCAGAAAAGATTTTCCTACTGGGGTATAGACTGGTGGTTCCATTTCTGCTGCTTTTGCAAATCTTAGGGTTTCTAACATTCCTTAGGGATACAGAATACAACTTGGGAATTACCTTCAGTGGTGTAAGCAGTAAGAAAACGCTTCTAGTTTCTCTGGTTTACTTCCCTTTTTGGACAGGGCTTCTTTAAAGGAGGAAGAGAAGCACGCGGGCTAACATTTTTTAACAGGAGGAGAATCCTTTGAGACCTGTGTATTACAAACCTTGACAATTAGTGGACAGCTCAATAAAGGAGGCTGTTGTGCGTTAGCTGTTGACTGTTAAATACAAAATCATTTTCTTGGAACAACTACCTTTTCCTTTTTTTTCCCCCCAGTTTTCTCCAAATCTAAATATCTTTATTCTTTATATAT